TATATATATATATATATGTGTGTATATATATATATCATTCACAGGTTTTCAGACAAGACTATGAATCTTCTAATTACTACTTCAAATATACTTGTCTGTCTTTGTTCTGTGTCATAGAATTTAATCTGCTAGTCAGACCAGGTAATTTTGATATTACTTGAATCCTTGTATATTTTCAAAGTAATTTGCAGCTACTTCTGATATGGAGCAGTCAATGAATGTGCTCAATTTTTATCTCAAAATTATCCTTGTAGTAAAAAAAAAATGGTAATGACGTGTTTTGTTTTTTCCTGTTTCCCTCTTGAAGCTCACCGAGATGGGAAGGGAGACTTTACCCTCCTGGCTATACTGGGACAGAGAGAGCTGCATTCTCAGAGGTTTGGCTCTGGAGCAAGATAAAGGTGTATATCATATCATGGTGTCAGGTGAGGAGCAAAGTCAGAAGACTAGTAGCCAAGTATTCCCCAGTACAGTCTTCTCTATTGAAGTATACCCAGAAGAACGAGCAGATACTGAGCCACCCCTAATCACACTTCAGTCTGATATTGGTGGCCTGCAGCCTTTCACCTGTGGCTCTGAGGAGCCTGTCACTGTCCTTACTGTCATCTTGGATGCTGACTTGACAAAGATGGTTGCTGAACAGAGGGCCAGCTTACTGGGCAATATGAGGAAATTCTCTCATGTGCCACTGGAACACATGAGGGTGGTCCCTGTTGTCAACAACCGCTTATTTGACATGTCTGCTTTCATGGCTGGACCAGGAAATGCAAAGAAAGTGGTGGAAAACGGCGCCCTACTGTCATGGAAAGTTGGATGTGCTCTTGATCAGGGCAGCGTTCCTGACATTAGCAGTGTCCAATCCTCAGCAAAGGATGGGACTATGTCAGCTAGGCTGGGCTATCCAGTGGTTGGCTGGCACATTGTTAATAAAAAGCCCCAGGGAGTCAGACGGGTCAGGCGGCAGTTGTACAATACTCCTACTCCAGTGCCCTCCCTGCTTCCTCCAACTATTAACCAAGAGCCATATTCACGTGTTATTCCCACTCCAACATCACCCTCTATCGCCCCAGCAACTGATAATTCTGCTCCACCTGTCAGAGGCCCTTTGCCCCTTCCAGTCAAGCCTACCATGAGGGTCAGGGATCAGATAGCTCACACACCTGTCTTTGGACCTCCCCAACCCACCAGAATACTAGGAACTACAAGCACTATCCCCATTCAACCTACCATGACCCGGCCTACTTTTGTGGAAGCTACTGCAGTGCCAACACCACCAAGCACCACTAAAAAACCCAAGCCCTCTTCCACAAAAAAACCTAAGAAACCCAAAACCTCGACTCCAGCTCCCCGAGAACCGAATTCCACAACTCCTAAGCCACCTAGGCGCACAACAGCTCTCTCTCTTGCTCCGGACTCTAATACAACTCCAGAGATCCGCAACCCCATTGATCAGGTGACTGCATGGGTGGGAACATACTTTGAGGTTAAGATTGCTGCTGATGCATTTTATGACCGAGAGGATGGTACTACTGATAAGCTGCGTTTGACTTTAAAGAAGACACCCAAAGAACCAGTAACTGAAACATCTTGGATCCAGTTCAACAGCACTATCCAGCTTTTGTATGGCCTTCCAGAGGAGCAACATGAGGGGAATCATGAGTATTTCATGTTAGCCACTGACAAAGGGGGGAAGAGTATCATGGATGCGTTTGAGGTTAGAGTCCATCGCTGGTCTAATAATAACAAACCTTCAGTAATGTTTGCTGCTCGTTTTCATGGTGACCCCAACACTTTAAGCAATGATGTACATAAAAAGATTCTTTTGACTAAGAAGTTGGCTTACGCCCTGGGAGATCGGAACAGCAGCACAGTGACCTTAAGAAGCATCACTAGGGGCTCAATTGTTGTGGAATGGACCAATAACAGTCTCCAGCAGAGTCCTTGTCCAAAGGACCAGATCACAATTCTCAGCAACAGGATTGCTGATCCCCAAGGAACCCCTAAAGCGGTCTTTATCAAAGCCATGGAGCCTGAATTCAAACCCATTAACATCTCAGTTCGTGGCACCAATAAATGCCAACAATACACATTCATTCCACCAGGAGAGGTGCCAATGCCTGAGCTTCCTACAGCTACGCCTTCACCTGATCCAATTAAGGGCACTGATGACGTTTACCTGCACACTGTCATTCCTGCTGTAGTAGTAGCTGCCCTGCTGCTCATCGCTGGAATCATTGCTATGGTTTGTTACCGCAAGAAGCGTAAGGGGAAGATGACCATAGAGGAGCAAGCAACTTTCATCAAGAAGGGCGTTCCAATAATATTTGCAGATGAGTTGGATGATTCAAAGTCACCACCGTCCTCCAGCATTCCTCTTATCCTCCAGGAGGAAAAGCCCCCACTTCCTCCTCCAGAATACCCAAACATGTCTGGCCCTCACAGCACCCTGCTAAACCAGGATCTGTTGGAGGAATATTCAGTTTATCAAGATGATGATCCTAATGCCCCACCTTACCAGCCTCCCCCACCATTTACTGTGCCCATAGAGGGCAAAGGCTCCCGCCCTAAGAACATGACCGCGTACAGGTCACCTCCTCCCTATGTGCCTCCCTAACACACACCAGGGGCTTTGAGTTTTGAAAGCAGGTGCAATCTAGGGATGCTTGTCGAATTACTACAGGAGTAATTTTACATGTTTAATGAAATGGCTTTGACTTTATAGAGAAGCAGGCAACCATAATCATATATCTCACCAACATGGATAAGACAATACATCATACAATTCAACTACAGGCACAGGGCGAATGGATGGAAAACTGTTTAATTTTTCTTTGTCCTTCAGATCTGCTTTTGACTTCTTACATATTTTTTTTTGTCTGTTCTTGCCAAGAGGAGTCAATTTTATCTTCAATGATGTACTATTTCTATTGTATAGAAAATAATAAAGAAGCAGGAAAAAATGAAGCCCACAGGGCCGTTGAGCAGATGTCACCATGACAACAGACTTGAGGCTCTTCCTCACAATGTTAATCTTTATGAGTTCTATATCACTCTTATCTGTCTTTTCGGCTAGGTTTACTAAGATTTTGCACCTGTTATTTCTAGAGGGGAATGAAATCCATAATGCCAAACTGAAAGCATGAAACATTTTATTTACACAAAAAATTAGTTTGTTTCTTAGACATGAGTCTTTCCCTGTTCTCTTCTATGCTTTTTGCCTCCCTCTCGACAATAACATGCAAATGTTGCACTTATGCAAATTCTTGTTAAACCTTGCACTATGTGTCTTGCGCAGAACCGAAAGCATTACGTGGTGGTCGAATGAGGAAGAGAGGAAAAAAAAAAAAAATCCTTGAACTCATTACATGACTGAAATTCCTCTGGTACTAGATCACAAAAGAACATTACACTGATCACGCCTGTTGTAGCTGTAGCCTAATTAAGTTACAAAACAAATGATTTTATTTTATTTTTGTTCATCTGTGCCACTGAATCTGCCTGTGAGATGTCTGCGGTCACGAGGCAAACCTTGTAGGGATGCTGGAAAGATAACAAAGGGGCCATAGGAATGCTGTGCTTTAGAACAGTATGAGAAATGGAGACGTACCCGATGAGTTGGATCCACCGTCTTATATTCAGTTGGTTTTGTTGGTGTGGGGGCGGGTGGGTGTAAGAGTACTGTATTATCACTGCTCTGCCTCTAGGTGTTGCACTGTTATGCTTAGTGCACTGCCTGTTGTCAGTTCAGATGAGGCATGGGGACAAGGGGATGTACATAATTGTGTGCCTGTGAAATTAAACCACTCCATAATGTCAGTGTTTTATCAGTAAACCTAGTTGGGGGGGAGGGGGCAGATTGGGAAATTATTTTATTTTTTAATTGTATGTCTAGATTTATGATCACAATCATAAAAAAAGACTTTATAGTTTGTGAGGGTATAAAATGTTTACCTGCCCATCACAAAAGAAATTCTCAATATGATGGGGGATCAAAGAAACCACTATAATATGTGAATTATGTACATTTCATATCTGATATCACCATAAGAAAAAATGGTTAAAAATCTAATGTTTTTACTGAGTTTTTGATACAGTCTTAAACTTGTTTTATGAAAATATATTAATAAAATGTAATACTATTTGTAAAGCCTCAAAGATGGTGTAAAGTCCCATTTATTTGAGAACATGGTGCAGCATTAAACATGTTTTCAATGATGATGTGTCTGTGTGTATTACAGGGGAGATAAACACAACTCGTGACAGAAACTAAAGACTAGTTCTTATATAGTGCTTTCTATATCTGAGTACTCGGAGAGCATGATACAACATGCCTCGTTCACCCCTATTCATACAAGCACTTTTTTCTTTCCATGCTTAAGTGCTTTCTATCGAATATTCATACTCCGATGGATTCATCAGAGAGCAACTCCGGATTAGGATCTTGACCAAGGATATTTAGAATGCACCAACCTTCCGATTAGTAGATCAATTGTTTATATGTACTTTATTATTACACCTCTCTAATAGGTATTCAGCATTATTTTATTATTGACATAATGGCATAAAACAGTTACTGCAGTTTTGTCAGCTGCACATCCATGATGTTAAATTTCCCTTTCCACCGCATTCCAAAGCTGCACTATTGGATTGCGATCTGGTGGCTCTGGAGACCTTTTGAGTACAGAGAACTCACTGTCTGATGATGATTTGAGCTTTGTGACATAGTGTGTTATGCTGCTAGAAGCAGCAATCAAAAGATGGGTACACTGTGGCCATAAAGGGATGGAGATGCTCAGCAACAATACTCAGGTAGGCATTTAAACAATGCTTAATTGGTGCTAAGGGGCCCACAGTATGCGAAGAAAACATCCCTCCTATCATTACACCAACTGCAGCCTGAATCGTTCATACAAGGTGTGATGGATCCATGCTTTTGTTGTTTATGCCAAATTCTGACCCACCATCCAAGTGTCTCGGCATAAATTGGGACTCATTAGACCAGGCAACATTTTTCCAATCTTTTATTGTCCAGCTTGCTTTAAAATGTTCCTTCAGTTTCCTGTTCTTAGCTGACAGGAGAGGCGCCCAGTGTTTAGCCCATCTCCTGTGTTCAGAGATACTCTTCTGCGTACTTTGCAACAAATGGTTTGCCTTCCTGTCAGCTCAACACAGTCTGGCCATTCTCCCCTGACCTCTGGCATCAACAAGGCATTTTCTCTTTTTCAGACCATTTTCTGTAAACCCCAGAGATGTTTGTGCAGGAAAATCAGAGTAGATCAGCAATTTCTAAAATACTCCATCCATCCCATCTGGCACCAACAACCATCCCACATTCAGAGTCACTTCAATCACCTTTTTCTTACCCATTCTGATGCTCAGTGTGAACTTCAGCAGGCCATAGTGTCCGGGTATTATTCTGTCTTACAACAACAGCTGAAAAAGTGGTTAAACGTCAGGTTGTTCTGAATATGTCTACATGACTGAATGCATTGAGTTGCTGTCATGATCAGTTGATCAGTTATGCTAATGAGCAGTTGAACAGGTATATACCTGTTCAAACCGTCATTGATTTGCACACAATCGGTAACAGCTTCTCTGCAAATCGGTCATCTGTGCGAATTTTGATTTAAAGTCGAGTTTGAATTTGAGTCAGCAGAGTAGATAATGGTACAGTCTTAAAATGTTGCCACATTCTTGACAGCGTTTACACTAACATGCTACATTTGGCTCCTGTAGTTGGCTGGGTTTGCAGCATGAGCTATGCCCTCTTTGTTGTAATAAAGCAAGCACACAGCAAGCAGCCCCTGCGAGACGGTGTGATATTTTAAGAAAAGGGCTCCCTTTCTGTGGCATTTCGGTGGGCAGTTTTTCTTTTTTAGGCTCCATGCTCCTACGTCTCTTGGAGAAATATCAATAACAATGACTAATATCTGCTTTCAAATTCTTTTAGTATAGAGTTGTTGTTA